GTGGAAGTCATCAGTTCGAGCCTGATTATCCCTAAACCCAATGTGAGTTTTTCTATTTTGACTTGCTCCCCCGCCGTGATCGAATGAGAATGGATAAGAGGCTCGTGGGATTGACGTGAKGGGGTAGKGATGGCTATATTTCTGGGAGCGAACTCCAGGCGAATATGAAGCGCATGGATACAAGTTATGCCTTGGAATGAAAGACAATTCYGAATCCGCTTTGTCTACGAACAAGGAAGCTATCCTTCAGAAGAGCATCTCGCCACTCCCATCATTCCTGAGATAACAAGTCAGCCCTCTATTGACCCATCTCTGATTGTCCCAGACCTTGACCTTCCTATTGCTCTCCGCAAGGGCAAGCGGAAGTGTACAGTCCATTGTATCTCCAAACACTTGTCTTATAGCCTTCTTTCCCCTTCCTACTACTCCTTTCTTGCCTCTGTTTCTTCCCATGTGATACCCAGGCCTGTACCGGAAGCATTATCTCAAGCTGAATGGAGGGATGCTATAATGGCCGAACTAGATGCATTGCATAAGAACCATACTTGGGATATTGTTGACTTGCCAGAAGGGAAGGAACCAGTGAGTTGTAAATGGGTGTTTACCATTAAATATCACTCTGATGGCTCTGTGAGAGGTTTAAGGCTCGGTTGGTTGCTAAGGGCTACACTCAAATGTATGGCATTGACTATCTTGAGACATTTACTCCTGTAGCTAAGATGACCTCAGTCAGGGTTTTACTATCTCTAGCTGCTACTTTTGACTGGTCCCTACACCAGTTTGATGTTAAAAATGCCTTCTTGAATGGAGACCTACCTGAAGAGGTCTATATGTTTCTACCTCCAGGAGTGTATGGTAAGGAAATGAAATGTAAGATGTGTAAACTACACAAATCTATTTATGGTCTCAAACAGTCTCATCGGGCTTGGTTTGAGAGATTTTGGGCTGCTCTTGTCTCCTTTGGCTACACTCAAACTCAATCTGATCATACACTGTTCTTGAAGAGAAATGACTCTCTGGTGACCTTCTTGATTGTTTATGTTGATGATATTGTGGTCACGGGTAATGACACTGAATAGGTTAGTAAACTAAAAAGATTTCTCAACTCTGAATTTGAAATCAATGATTTGGGAGATCTTTGGTATTTCTTGGGCATTGAAGTTGCTCGATCTAAGGATGGTATCTTTATCTCTCAGCGTAAATATGTCATTGATCTTCTTGCTGAAACTGGTAAACTTGGAGCTAAACCCATCTCCACTCCTATTGATCATAATCATAAGCTTTCTGCTATAGATGGTGAGCTTTTGTCTGATAAGGGAGTGTTTCAGAGACTGCTTGGGAAGTTGTTATACCTTTGCATGACTCGGCCAGATATTTCCTATGCAGTAAATGTTATTAGTCAAATTATGCATTCTCCCAGAGATACTCATTTAGCTGTTGCAGAAAGGGTTTTGTGCTACTTGAAAGGTACTCCGGGGAAAGGTAATCTATTTGCTAAACATGGTCAATTGAAGCTGGAAGATTTTACTGATGCCGATTGGGCAGGATGCATTGATGATAGAAGATCCACCTCTGATTATTGTGCTCTGGTTGCTGGGAATATTGTGTCATGGAGGAGTAAGAAACAATCTATAGTTGCTAGATCCTTAGCTGAAGAAGAATGCAGGGCAATGGCACATGGTGTGTCATAATTACTATGGCTACGTTCCCTTCTAGAAGAATTGGGGGTGGACTACGAGAAACTAATGATGCTCTATTGTGACAACCAAGCTGCTATCAACATTGCACAGAACTAAGCACATTGAGGTTGATAGGCATTTTATAAGGGAAAGAGTTTCCTCAGGAGAAGTTTGTTTACCATTCATCCCATCAGAAGGGCAACTGGCTGATATCTTGACCAAGGGAGTTCCAAGAGGGAAAATGACACACTATATAAGCAAGCTGGGCATGATTGACATCTATGCTCAGCTTTAGGGGGAGTGTAAAGAGACTGGGCCGAATGGGCCCTAACATCCTCTCTTGTAATATCTTTTATTTTATTGTTGATGGGCCAAACTTAACGGGCCTGTTATTTATTCTTGTCATTATCTAATTTTTAGATCTTAATAAAATAGGGTTAGAGGAGAATGGAGATTAATTTGACTCCTTCTCTTACCTTCTCTTTTCGCCATCTTCTTCTCCTGTGTAGTTGTTCAGACTTGTTCTTTACTTCTTTTAATCCCTAAATTTGTTCTTGATATTTGAGGACTGATTTACATCTGTTTTCTATAATAAAACAAAATGACTGTTATGTCCCTACTTAAGTATGGGACACATCACTTAACTTAAACATTACACCTCACATCGAACATAAATAAAAAGACCAAACTACCCCTGTATAGTCGACACTAACCCTCCCCCTCAAGCTAGTGAGTATATATCATATAGTCCCATCTTGCTACATATGTAGTCCACTCTTCCCCGACTCGACCCTTTGGTGAACAAGTCTGTCCATTGGCTTCCTGTGTTAACATATGCAGTATCTATCACTCCACTAAGCACCTTCTCTCCCACAAAGTGACAATCAACTTTTCTGTTCTCACATGAAAAACTAGATTAGAAGAGATGTGGACTACAGCTTGGTTGTCACAATAAAGATTCATAGGAGTGTCAATCGAGTACCCCATCTCCTGTAGAAGATTTCTCAACCACACTAGTTCACAAGTTGTATGTTTCATGGCTCTATATTCAGGTTCTGCATTGCTTCTTGCCACCACTGTTTGCTTCTTACTCTTCCATGCTACCAAATTACCCCTGAGAAAGGTACAAAACCTGTAGTGGACTTTTTGTCAGATACAGAACCAGCCCAATTAGCACCGGTGTATCCCTTTATTTCAAGTTTTCCTTCACTCTTGTATAACAAGCCACGACCAGGAGCTCACCATCCATACATAGTGTTTTGATCTAAGATTTCAATTCTTCCATGTTTCAGCAGTAGCATATTGTTCCATGGAGCTAAGGTCCAAAATATGDAAGAAACAAGTGTTTCCACGACTCTACCACCCGGTCAATTCTGTTCCACTTAATCCCTCTTTCATGGCCACGTATCTTTCTGGCTAAGGAATGGGAGATCTTTCTCCTGTTACATGAATTGTCTCATTTTGGGATTGTCTACGGACTGTTGTGTGAAAACTATGAAAAAACATCTAAGTAAGAGAAAAACTATGCATTTTTTGATGCACCTCAAACCTGATTATGGGACTCTATGCTTTAGTATACTCAACAGAGAGCCAATACCTGATCTTGATGTGAGTCTTGGAGAGTTATTAAGGGAGGAAACTCGTCTCCACACCTTGTTTGCACTTGATAAGAAGAAGGAACATGGAATAGAAACATTTTTTTTGGCTACCAAACAAAAAGGGAAGAAACACTTCTCAAAGATGCAATGTTATGAATGCAAGTAATATGGACATGTGGCATCCCACTGCAAGAAGAAAAACTTTTGCACCTATTACAAACAGCAGTGGCACATTATAGTGGAATGCCCAACCAGGCCTCCCAAGAAAGGACAACATAAGGCTTATTAGGCTTCGACTAAACCAACTTCTACTGATACTGCCTCCCTTCCTCAGCTCACGAATTAGATGCATAGGGAAATTTGACTAAAGAAAAGATTTGTGAGCTCATGTCCTCAGCTATTTTCTCTGCTTTTTCTGCTATTGGACTAGCTGGTAAGTCTGCTTATTTGTGTTCCTCTCCTCACATGTGGATCATTGATTTTGGGGCTTCAAATCACATGACTGGGCCTCCTTTGGATTGTCTTCTAAACCTTACACCTCTGTCAACCATATTATTACTGCAAATGGTGATTTTCTTCTTGTATGTGGGTGTGATGATTTATTTCTGTCCACTTTTGAGTCCAAACCCTTACATCTTTCCAAAACCTTCTTTGTGCCTAAGTTGACTACTAGCCTTATTTCTGTTGGGAAACTTGTTGATGATGGTGATTTCTTATAACCATTCTCTGTACTCTCTTAGTGATTTCTCGGTACTCTTATTTTAAAAGAAGTTTATTTTTCTTTAAGAAAAATTCCTTAATGACCTTAGGAAATGACTCAAGGACTTTCCCATAACTCTATTTCTCATTTATTCTGAGGAACCAAAACCCAATTAATGACAGCGATAGTGAGAAAAGTTTGCATAAATATGATAATGTTTAGCGTTTAGGCATCAGCAAGAAAGTTTTGCAAGAACATTTTTATGAATTCAGTGCTAATGTTTATTGGTTGATAGGCAAAATTAAAAACTACCTTATGATTTAATGATTTATTAATTTTTAATATCCATCACCTAGAATGACACCTAGCCACCTAGGCATCTGGGCGCTATATGATTGCTTACATATGCCTTAGACAGCCTTGAAAAATATGATAGGATAACAGCATCATGGAGGAAGGAAACAAATACTTACAAGTTTTGTGTATGCTTGATCAACCAAGTCCCTTGATTGTCCCTGGATGTACTGCTCCATACGTGTTGCAAGGGTTGCAAATCTATCCATAAGTGATAAAGAAGAAATTAGATATAAATCAGCCTAATAGGAAACCTGAAACAATAAGTGAAGAATACATTGAAGAAAGATATTGAATACCTCAGTGGTTCACAGAAAGATTTTTTGACATGCTCAAGTAACAGAAGAAGAGAATCATTTTATATCAGGAATAATGCATTGCCAAATATAAGTGAAAACCTTGAACAAGAACTGATCAGTAATTAATGCACCTCATCTTGGGGTAATCAGGGACGGCTGGGCTGCACATAGTACCTATGACAAGGGCTATTGCCTATAGCCAGCGTCTGGGACTGGGCTAGGCTAGCCTTCTAGGCCTATAAATTTAAATACATCAAGAAGGGCAGAAGGCTACAAACTACATCTCTGACATCTAGAAAAGGAGAAGCATTCATAGAAGAAAAAGAACAAAACATAATAAGAAAGAAAAGAATCTGCCAAAATATTAGCATTCCTAAGCACCAAATTGAATGAGAAGTTCAAAGAAGCACCTAGAGAGTGAGCCAACCTCACCCAATGCTTGAATTCCCAAGGGATTTGATCTTGTGCTTTCATACATAGAATGATAGTTTGGCAATCACGCTCCACTTCCATATTCCTCATTCCCTGCAACTCCAATAATTTTAAACCTTGAATTAATGCAAATAACTCAGCTCTCAAAGAGTTACCCTTACTGACTAGGCCTGAGTAGCTGAGAATTAGATTGCCACAATGGTCCTTTACATACTCCCCCAAACTTGAAACCCCTGTATTTCCCAGGCAGCATCCATACAAGACAAGTTTAATCATCCAATCTGCAGGAGGGGACGTTCCCTCAACCTTCAAGGTCTGTCAATTTGGAATCCAGCCACAATATGCCATCTCCTAAGTAGGTCATTGAGAGAACCACCTCTGAATTCCTCACACATTACAGCCCAATGATCTGCCCTAATTTTATGAGTTCAAATAGCTCCTCTACCTGTTTATATTTCTCCTCGAAAAAATCCTTGCATTTCTTTCACCCCACAAACCTCATAAAACTGCCCCCTGCACACACTACAACAAGACTTTTTGTCTCCGAGTGCACCCACCTATAAAATCAATTTTAAACAGTCAACTACTTCAAATGGGGCCACCCAAGTTTTCATGAACAGCAAAAAGAATAGCTCCCACAATCTAGAGGCATAAGAACAATGCACAAGGAGATGGTTAGTGTTTTCCCCAGTCTTGAAGAAAAGGACACACAAATGAGGTTTGAGAGTACAGTCCCTCCACCTCTTTTGGAGTTTCTCATAGGTGTTGATTATTTGGTTGGCAGTTTCCCAACAAAAAATCTTGACTTTAGGGAGAGTTGGGCCAGACCATACATCATTAACAGGGAAAGGGGTACTCTAACTGGAGGGACAAAAGGTTGGCAGCCAAATCATCTAGTTCAGCCACTTCATCTAGTATCAAATGCCCCAGGAATCCCTCTTCTATGTCAGGATTTGTGTTGGGATGTTTTCCTTGGAAAGATTAATACTTATGACAGGCTATAGAAAAAAAAAAGGCCTAATATGTGCCTATACCATCATGTGTGTGTCTTTGTGACTGGTATTTGGGACTCTGTTTTCTCTCTTTTTGGTTGCAGATGGGACTCCCCACAAGATGTGGTAAGCCTATTAAATTCTGACTTCTTGAGGCAACAGGAAATAAGAAGGATTTTGTGGAGGACAGCAAAAGCAGCTGTAGTGTGGACTATGTGGAAGGAAAGAAACAAAATGATCTTTAACGCAAAAAAGAGAACCAAAGAAGAGATGATTGAGGCAATAACAGTTAGAATTGTGCATTGGGTTAAGAACTTTGGAACTCTTCCGGGAGCATTCAACTAATACTATTCTAAGTATTAGTTGAATGATCTTTAACTAAAGAAGAGATGATTGAGGCAATAACAGTTAGAATTGTGCATTGGGTAAGAACTTTGGAACTCTTCCGGGAGCATTCAACTAATACTATTCTAAGAGCGTGGGCTGTAGTGGCACAAAAGGGTAGACTAAAGGAAAGTTTGAGAATGGACTGACAAACTCTGGATAAAAATAGGCATTCTTTCAGGGAAATATACTCCCTTGCAAGAAGGATCACCTATTCTATTAGATGGATAAGGAGAATGGAAAATGAAATGGCAGATGTATTAGCAAAGAAGGGAATTGAAAGACCAAATCTATTCTGGGAAAATTTGTATTCTGGTGCTGATTAGCTTGATGGTTTCCCAATCAGTTGTAATTTTCTCTGAAATTTAATAAAATTACCTTTTGTCATGTTGGTTAAAAAGAACTAGTAAATACAACTAATTTATTTCACCACTTTGTCATGGATGTGCTGACAGTTGCCGAAATAGTGAGAACTACTACTCCTAAATCCTAATGTGGTACATGAAGAAATTAACCTAGGGATATAAGGAAGCACACCCATCTGCCGGACATTGCGTTCGTGTCTCTCAATCTGGTGACAAGCTTCATCAACAAACTGAAAAAACAAATCGCATGTTACAAGAGAAAATACACAATTGAAAAAGTACAAAATTTTTCACCATGAACACCAATAATCACCCGGTTGAAAAGCGCTGAAATTCTTGACTCGAGATCATCTAGTAAAAGGCGCACAAATCCTGCTGCATCAGCTTTATGACCAGAAAGATAGCGCTCTGTAATCCCATGCATTGATATGCAGCGCAAAGGATCAATCTTGTATGCCCAATCTACCACAGAATAGAAATCCTCCTAAAAAGTTTAAAGAAACAAAACATCTGCTAAGAACAGTAAGACATCTCAAACTTCTACAGGAGATGAAAATTCAGAATAACAGCATATCTATTGTGGCATTCTGGGAAGCCAGTGCCACAAAATGACAACTAAGAGAGCTAGATATTAAAGAAAAGCAACTATAGAAGCCAGATAAACAATGGAAACTTGGGTGGTCAATCAAAGACAAGGCAAATAAACGGGAATAGCCATAAAGTCCAGTGTCCAATAAATTTCTTGTTAATTGAAACAAATTTTTTTCTCTCCATTTTTCTCAATATAGGACCACATTTTGGTGTTTAGTAGAGGGCCTTAATCAGCTGGGTTAATGAACTCAAATATAGATTTTTTTTCTTCCTTGTAGGAAAACTTAGAAAAAAAAAGTTCTACTACATAGGGAAGAAACAAAGAGAAGGATGAAACACCAGAATAGTTTCTAATAGAGAAAAAGAAGGGATGAACAAGGAAAGTGTTGTTAGAATTAGTTTTTTATTTCTTCTATTAGGTTGATGTCAGTCTAGGATGCTGTCAGCATGTTCTTTCTTTGTTTAAGTTCTTAATATTAGGGTGGGCCACTAGGGGCATGCTTGTAATTTCTGTTTCTTTTATTTTACATCATGTTAATACAAATAGGAAGCTAGGAGCCGCCAGCTTCAGTTTTTGACTCTCAAACACTTTTTCTCTTCTCCTCTTCGTATCTTTCTTCTCTCTTCTCTCCTCTCTCTCTTCTCTCTCTTCTGGAAAAAAAAGATGGTATCAGAGCATAACTCTGGGCGATAGGAATCTATTTTCTCCTCTGAATCACATTCCTTCCACCTGGTTTTCTGACTCTTGGACAGCGAAGGCAGAAACTCTAATCGGACTGATCAGAACCATCAACTGTTGCTGTTTTTTTTCTGGGTTCTTCCTTGGTTGTAGCACCATGGTAACCCTAGTAGGAGGGGGCCGATGCTCTGAAGGCTCTCTTTCTTTTGGCTGTGTTTTGATCATAATTCATAAAAAAAAGAACTTGAGAAGGATTAGGGTTTCCCTATTCATGGTGTATAAGTATGCACTATGTCTGCTAAAACCCCTTAATTATATTCCTTGAAGGAAATACCCTTTGATTTTGAGTTTATGTGAAAGAGCTACATTGTAAGGGTTAAACCCAATTATAGGTATAAGCAGTCCCATCAGCTTGGACTCTTAGCGGGTTATACCCATGATTGGGCCCCACAATTGGTAGATAGGTCATTGGACCCATACACCATTGGGTACTTATGTATTTAAACTTATACATCTTATCAGTGAGTCCCGTTAATTGGTAAAAGTGGGACCATTATACTGATTTGGTGGTGGGCATGACCCACATTAATATTTTAAACTTAAATATTTTGACAGTGGGCCCCGCTGATAGGTGGAACCAACTAGTTTGATTTGATAGTGGGCATGGCCTACTTTAATGTTTTGAACTTAAATATTTTGACAGTGGGCCCTACTGATAGGTGGGACCCACTAGGTTGATTTGTTAGTGGGTGTGGCCCACTTTAAGATTTTAAACTTAAATATTTTAACAGTGGGCTCCGCTGACAGGTGGGACCCACTAATTTGATTTGATAGTGGGCATGGCCCA